TGCGATATTTTAGCTTGTTGCTTCCGACGGAACTTACGGCGTCTAGCGGTACTTTTTTAGTCGTCCTTAATGCCCCTTCATTGGTCACCGCACAGTCTTTATTCAAGGTCGGCGAGGATGAATATAATGTGCACGGTACCAAGGGCACAACAGATTGTGACCTTGAGGACATGGTTGAAACAATGAAGGTCTTGTGTCTAGTGATCGATGAGGGGTTGGCTCAGGTCGCATGAGCATACAGTCGCCGCCAGTCGCCCAGGCTAAATTTCAAGTCAGGTAGCCGGACAAATGCAAAAGAGTAGGTGTGAGCTCAAGGACATCATCTGAACCAATTAAGATGCATAGGATGCGAGGTCTGCTTTGCTGTTTGCCTGACCCGGTCTAAACTACATCAGAAGAAGCGTACGTTCATCGTCACCCTCTTGCAACAACAAGTTGCTAATCCTATCAGAGTTGATGGAATCTCCCTCAGACCGGTCCAGATCAGTAGAATATCAACCAATCAAGCGTTGAGGTACGGCCTTACCTAAGCTATCTGGAAAGTGAAAGTAGCGGCTCACATACTCGAAAGACAAATATTTTACGAATATTTCTAGTTCTCCCAGCTGACGCTTCTGTCGAAAGGTGTACGTAGACGTATTTTGAAAGCACAGTCTAGTTTAGAACGAGCTTCCAAACTTGACCAACGGCAACAACACTATTCCATCACTCATCAAAATACTTGCAAGAGCACATAACTCCATTTTAAGATTATCTAGTCTCACAAACTTCGATCCTCAAGTCAAAAAACAATAGTATCGAGCATAGCACCAAGACACTGCACTGTGTTAAGAGCCATGATTTCGTACACGTCATTCTCCAGATGCTTCTTGGGGTCCAATTTGCCGACATTCAGCACCTCGAGTTCTTCCGGTGTCTTCTCCTCTTCTTCTTGGACTCGCGTGTTATACTGCTCCGTAAGAGCCAGCATGCTCTGCAAATTTAGCCAAAACGTACATCATTAGATAATTTAAGCGGTATCGCTGCTGTAATATTCTAGATTGTACCTTGACGGTCTTTTCGTTTTCCTTAGAGTGGTCTTCAAATTTGGTAAGCACAAGTCCATCACTCCACGTATTTTTATGTAGATTCATGAGCATTTGCTCTTCTAGTTCATTCTTGCGGTAGTCGATTGCTATCGAGTAATAGTGACGGTTAAGGCCGTGAATGAGCGCTTGGATCGACGGTTTATTCAGATGGCCGATATTTGAAGTGGTTTGCCGTGGCTCTTGCCCCATCATCATGAGCTGCGGATTGATGAGGCGAAAAGCGTCAATTACCACTTTACCTTTCACACTCTGTATGGGATCCACAACAACAGCGACAGCACGTGGATTCAAAGCTTCAAAACTTTGTTGCGTGTTGATATCTACGCCGGAGAGCCAGCAGCCAAATCCTGGGTGTGAGTGATACCAGCCAACAACCATTTCTGCCCTTCCTGTTTGCTTGAGCATCTCGAGCATCTTCATCTGAAAGACCGGATCTACAGCTTCCACACTTACACCCGTTCCACTCTGCGGCATGGCAAAAACGTCGATACAATTGACCGTGTAGTCATCCACAAATTCACCTAGCATGAGACCCATCACTTCCATTGGAACACCAGCGCGGCCTAATGATGTGACATAAAAAGCATTTAAGTAATGATTAAACGGAATCTGCAGGCAAGAAGTTCTTGATACCATGCTTGAGCATTTTAAGCAGCGCTAACGATGAGATATGTACTTTTTCGGCGGTATCGACTAGTGGACCATCAGATCCGGGACCTCCTTGACCCGGGAGCCCCGGAAGATTGCCGAAAAGGCGCTGCAGTCGGTCCATCGTTGAGGTCGGGGCTTGGAAGATTCAAATTAAGTCAAACAATGGTGTAGATTACATCGCATAGAGAACGTAATCAAAAGATGGAAACGCCACCAAGAGGGATAAAGTCACCAATACCTGCATCGTCCAAGCAATTGCACGCTCGGATCAAGCATCAAATGGAGAGCGAAATGGACGTTGAAGTAAATCCGGAAATTGAGCGCATGGGTGATGAGGTACCCGTGCATGCAGCTGCCATCAAGCCGGTGGTCGATGACTTTGACGATGACGATCTCGACTGAAAAAAAGCATTTACTTTACTATTTAAATGCTTGCACCTGAAGAACGGCAAGACAAGTCTAAAGCTATGGAAGGATAGCAAAAATACAGACATCAAACCGTAATTGGTGGTACAATCCACACAACGTCGTTCTATATTTGTTTTAAACACGACCATTCTCCTTGACCGCAGTAAAGAAGACGCAGTCGTAAACAGTCTTCATCATACTTTTAATATTGTTTGCGTAAAAACATTCGCGTTGCGACTCCTTTTGAATGCGGAAATTGTACGTGTTCATGACGTGCTTGATCTCTTCGTACGAAAGCTCTATTGACTGTTCATAGCGATCGTCGTCGTCACCACCTGCGTTTTGCCAATGGTACAGCAGTGGCCCTAGATTAATCCAGAAGCCGCCAGGCTTTAGCATACGCTCGAATGCGGCGATATACTCGATCACGTTGGGTGCCGCATCGATGAAGAAACACGTCACAATGCAGTCCCAGCATTCTACAAGTAAGAAATACTCATTAGCTTCGCATTTGTAGCCAATAATTTTTAGAAGTTGACCCGCCTTTATCATTTGCGTACGCTTCTAAAAATTCACCAGCACACATGGAAAAGTCTGAAGCAATGGCAGAATCTGAGTTAAGACCTAAAATCTCCGCAGGTGATACGTCCGGGATTGCTACGGGGCGCAGCAAGTCTGTAATACTTAGTGCATTTGACGGATTGTGAATCCATGGATGTATTTCAAATTGCAGTGGCTGAGGTGCCCTATTGACAACCCAAAGAGCAATAATTAGGCGGTTGTTGCAAACAGTAAGACATCAAAACGAATAAACACAAACTACCAATTAAGGATGAAATTGCTAGCGAACAGCATTTGATATGAAAACTCGTTACCCTGGACTGCGTAACCCTTAGCAGCAATCTCAAGTGCAAGCCGTCCCAAACCTGCTCCAGGCAGCAGCACACGAGGACGATTAAGTCTGCCAATGCCAGTCGAAGCACTTGTTAGATCGTGACATCACGACAAAGTACCCTTACTAAAACTCTTACGGGTTATCTTTATCTACAAACAGAACACGACACAACTCCTTGATAATGGGTGAATAGCACATCTCTCGCTCTTTCTTTCCCTGCAGCACTCCACTTTTTTAACGACTCGAGCATTTCAAGCACACACATTTCATTACCAAACATCAACGGACCTCGTCGGACCAATCGCGCACGAATTGGTGTAGTGTGCTTTTAAGCTTCGAAAAATGACGAGGAGGACTTTGCAACGGAGTTCGCGGTACTACTTCAGGCAATTCGACAGCTGGTCCATTTTTCAACTGTGCCTGCACTACGCGTTCGAAAAATATCTGATTGTGGTGTGTCGCGTTGACAAAGTGGTGCAGATTGCGAAAAGTGGACCCTTGTGGCAAGCGACGCTGCATCTCAACGGGCATGGCCTGCATATGTTTCTTACGACGGTAAATTTCACGCATCATATAGGATTCATACTCGCGAAACGACAGTAGCACTGACTGGTAATGCTCTTGCTCTTCCGGATCCTGCTCCATTGCTGCAATTGCAATATTATCAAATGATGTGGTTTACATACCCCTTTTGACATAAAATCAGTGCACAAAACAAAGATGTCCCAAAGCCGCATCTTACCGCTCGGTAGGTTGCTTAATGGCACTCCAATCTGTCTTTGCATTTTCATGGATCATGAGTTAATGCCTTACGATTTCTCCTAAATATTTTATGCGTGCGCTGTTCCTTAGAGCTGATTGACAAATGCATCGGTTCCAGACTCTGGATCGTCATGAAGGGTGATAAGGAGTTCCTCGGTACGCTTCGAGGTTTCGACGACTACGTTAGTAAGTGATTTAGATGATCATGTGTCTTTTGCTGGATACTCCGAAAAATTGCTGATCGACCCTTGCTTTGTGGGACTGCATATTTTACTTCAGATATGGTACTAGACGATGTGACTGAGTAGTACGTTGTGCATTCAATCGCAGCTTTGCTGCTTGCTGACAAGCGATTTTACGTGTAGTGAGATTACTCCAGATGGAAAACGCGAGGTGAAGCTTGATCAGGTGTTGCTTAACGGCAACAATGTCTGCCTAGTAAGTTGTCATCGTATTACTGTTTTGCGTGTCAGTGCAATTGAACTATGCGTCTTAATGCTACAGCTAGTGCCTGGAGGCTTTCCGACCACAGCCCAGACCAATTAATAGGTAGCAATTGAATGTTAAGTTTCAAAGAAAATGAAGCACCACGAGATTTATGTCTCATCTGTTAGCACCTCGTTCAAGACACAGGACCGATAATAGGTTTGCGCCACCAACTCACTGTCTTTTCCTACCCGTGAGTAACATAGCGAAAATACACCTTACAACCGTTTTATTGCTATCAAATGAATTGTATAACTTTTTGCTCTGGGTATGTGGTCAAGAGTGAGTTTTATTTCTTGGCCTTCTCCGCATTGTTTGTCTTCAAGGCTTGGCGGTTCAGTAGAACAAGAAAGCGATGCTGCTCTTCCATTTCAGTTATGTTGTCAAAGCCCACACGTTCCAGCTCTCCTAGCGTGGGTTTTGGGTCAAGCAACCTGAAGAGCCACTCAGGGTATTCGACCTTATCCTTGATCATCGGGTGTGTGCCGTCTTTGAGAATGTTGGTGGGCACAAATTTAGCTAAGTCTACGACTTCTTCCATTATAGCAGCAGTCTTGCTCTTGGCTGCAAATGAACGCACTCCAGTCGTCAGTGGCTTGGTCAGACGTCGCAGCATTTTTCGTATTTGTGGCACAGAATATTTTCATAAATGACTTGCATGAAAACAGAAACCTGTTATATCGGATATGAATCATACTACTACTTAGCAATGATCATAAATATTAAATGGGCAAGCAAAGGAAACGGCGTTCCGAAAATTCAAGCAAGGGGCAAGCCTTCGCCCAAACATGCCTGAATAACATGCGACTTGATAACGACAAGAAACAACAGAATCGCCGTCGTATGCGCGTAGTGCAGCTGCAACGATTAGTCGATCGCAAGTTGCAAGACCTGCGCGCATTTCCAAAAACACCGCCGTCTCCTACGGCTTCAGCGCGCAAGGGTCCTACATCTCCTTCAAAATGGAAGCTAAAGGGTGCAGCACGACCAGCCGCGCTTCTAGCTAGAATTGCAGCTGGAGAGTTGGATGAATGTGGTAACGAGTATCCCAAACCCGTGGAGACTTTCGACTTATACGAGAAGGCACTCAGGGACGGTGATTTGGCACAGCACAAGGACATTGTGGAGTACATCAGGTAAAGTCTAGCGCAAATTAGCTGATTTTTATCATAGTTTGAAGTGGGGACTGACTCACTGACTGCAGTCTTTTAAAACAGCTTGCGGTAGCGTGTTGCGAGGCGGGAATGCCTGATCGGGGCATCAAGAGCTACGAATTATGCATGACTTTAGACAAAAATGACACGATTCGTTCGTGTGAAGGACTTGTATGTGTATTGATTGATGAAGGTCGTGGAGTGGATGCTCGGGCATTAATTGAGAAGCACATGGACGAAAAGTCAGCGGTGTTGGCGTATTGCGAGGTGATTATTGAGTACGTGTCATGGGAGGTGCTCGAGGAAGAAGGATCATCCGAAGCGGCTGTGCAAAAGGCTTTACGTAAGGCATATGAATTGAATCCGTTTATAGCTGTCGTCATAGCGTACCACGACACCTTTTTACAAGTTGTAGAATATGTGGATGAGATAAAAAATCCAAAGCGAGGATCCATTGAAGAAGCGTTTCGTTATGTTTTGAAGAATATTGGCGTCTGGGTGGATACTGTGGGAGCTTGCCACTGGATTGAGAAAGAGTTGGATGTGTTTACTGAGATCATTCCAACAAAGGAAGATGTGTCCGACGAAATGTACCTTGGTATGTACGAAACAGCCGTCGATATGCACAAGGAACTGCTTGCTGGAGCTCAGGCTGATGTTGCCGGCGCAAATGATGAGGGAGACAGCGAAGATGATTTCAACCCTGAAGAAATATAGAGTCTCGCAACGAAAAAATAATCTCGTATGTTAATATGACTTCATTTTTGTAGAAAAGATCGCTAATAAACTATTGTGTGATACTCTGACGTTGACCTACTCTCGACATAAAAAAGCACCAAGTGTTTGTCATGCATGGTATTCAACCCTAACTGTTGCCACTAAAAACCCTTTTATTACTCCATTTTAACTGACTAAACGGAAGAAGATAAAGTCAACATATTGTATTCGGACACGCTTGGAAATGACACTGCGGCACCGAAGGGGTGGATCAGTGTCGACAGCATCTAACTGGTAGCAGATGAAGCATCCGAATTGTAAGGAATCCTCCAGAATGTGCTACCACTGCACTTTGGATTGAACTCACTGTAATCTGTCACATCTGGCAAACTGATTTGGTGTTGAAAGTACTGGCTAGCTTTTGAATCCCCCTGGGCGGAGTTTACAGAAAAAAGTGGACTCAAAAGCTGATCGCATTTCGGGGTTGCCGTTAACTTTGCGCCGAAAAAGCCAAAACTCAAATAGTTTGCATAATTAACGCATCGAGGTTGGGTTCGCTCCACCAAGGAACGAATCAAGATCCTTCAAAGCTGCGCGCGAGGATGCACTAACGTGCAGAAAATATGTATAAAACGTTCATCACGTTGACAAGTTGAAGCAAATGACCTCGCCCAAACATCGTTCGCGAAAGGCAAGAAATGGCGGATTGTAGAAATCTTATCAATACATGATATCTGACCCGCTTTTGAAGGCGGGACAAGGCGGTAACGGTCTCTGAGCTAGTATGGCTCGTATCGAGACCATAAGCTTTTCTACTCATATCAAGGAAGCAATGGAAGTAACATATATTGCTGAGTATGAATTTCGCGCCGCGGGAGCTGGATAGGGTACACTTTGTTGGTGCTCCAAAGGCGATAGGCTTCAGCAAAGCTGAGAAGAAGAGGGTTCTTAAAGCTACTAAGAAGCTTCGCCAAGATCGTAGTTTTTTGTCTGCGTAGTACAACTTACAAACTCCTTGCTCTAAGCTCAGCAATACGAACTGTCGATCTCCCACGCAATTGTGGATAGCGACCCCCCCGGCAAAATGTCGAGTTCCACTAGGATCAGGAAGGCCCACTAGAAGACAATTGGCTTTTTGTAGCTTGTGGAGCCTATGGTCAATAGGACTCAACGTTTTAAGGAGGAAGCCTATCTAAGATGGTTGGAGCTTACAGCCCATGGCTCGTTGGCTAAAGGTACCAATGTCCCAGGGTTTGTGAAGATCAAAGAAGGCTATATTACAATATCTGGAGCGTTGTGCAAATACGTACGGCGCGCGACTGTCGACATTATCAGATATTACGCGGGTGAATGGAAGATGCCAAGAATGCATATGATATGCATGCGTCGTTTGACGTGGAATCTGGTATAAGCGGAGAATGTTAACCTTGAAGCGAAGCTAAGAAATATGACCAAGTAGACCGTTTCCTCCTCCTGGACTTAGATTTATGATACGGTCTCAACCTTGGTTGTCGTGCCTGGAACGCCATGAACCATCAATCGATTGGTAGAAAAACATGCCAATTCTTTTCCTGGCGGGGCTTTCGGGAGTCATGAACCCATCTCTGCCAGGAGTGTAAGCGCGTTTGGCACAGGAAAAAAAATCTGATAGCTTCATTTATGACTTGGGGTAATTTACAGCTGATAGCAATGATATTGCTAGGTGACTTGCGGATGAATTGAAAGGCAAAACCGGCAGTAAGCCACGGCCTCAGAATGAGACAAAAAGAATTATTCTCAGCGTGCAACTTTGCTTAATGAATAATAGTAGCTGAGATCTCGTGTCTCCTGTGTTACGGCCAGCAAAATGTTAGCTACGAGTAGATACGTCAGGCTCAGAAGATAGCAACATTGACTCATTTTGGTCGCGATATGATGGGATTGTTAAGCTAGCATACTTGTGTGACGGGCCTTACGTGCTGAGCAGTGTAGCTTTGAGTAAGGGGCAAGAAAGATTACTTACATGTAAAAAAGTGACCGAAGAAGGCTTAGAGATTACATGTCTCCCCTCATTAGAAGCGCTTAGAAGCGCTGGAGAAATTTTCCCTCGATTAGATGCACAAGGCATTGCAAGACGGTGAAGGCTCCAAAATGGTACCATTGGTATCGGATGAGGAGCTGATATCGTCATCCGTCTCATGGATGAGTCCATCAATGAAGACACTCGTAAAGCACTGGTTAAAAGTAGTGGGGCAACTATCCTCAAGGGCTCGACAAATCCTTTAATTTCTTCGTTGAGGAAGCATCAACATGTAGTGTCAAGAGATACACTACACATGTATCCTCTAGTGGAATGAGTTGTTTTTTTAGCTGACTTCTGAAGCAAAATCTTGCGCAAACCGATACCACGGGTATAGTTCGACATTGCTGACGCTTTTTTGTGTGCAAAGCACGAAGCAGATGTTACGCGATTAAGTATACTTTCCCTGTAAGAAAAGCCACCGGAAAGTTGCGATTGATATATGAATATAATAATATATGCCACGATCCCAGCGCAAGCGCCGATTTCCATAAAGGACGTGCTGCAGAACAGCATTGTCAGCTGCACTATAATCAGTGTCCTTGAATGATGGATATATTTCTACTGGTGGTGAGATAGAGCAAAGTTCCTCTCGCTAGATGCTCTGAGAGTGGATGATTATATCACAAGAGCTGAATAAGACACTGGCGACGTTAAATCCGCTGATGATGAAGCTGTTCAATTTACGTCGTGACCGTGCACAACCTATTTCGATGAGTTCATCAGCCGTAGTCGCGGAGAGCCACATAAAGCACTTGCAAGCTATATGCGCTCAAATAAGCTATATGTCAATATCGATTACTCTGAAGGACGTCTTGGCGCCGATGGGGAGTTCAGTCTGGAATGCTTCGTTCGGAGCCAGGACCTGCGAGCAGATCTCACAGTAATAAAGGCTATTGTGGAATTGCTCGGCCATTTTCCCAGAACAAAAGACTTGATGAAGCGTTTTGACTGACCAACTACTTAAAAATCTAGTGCGAACCATGCCGGCATGGCACGGATGTCGCTTTAGCAAGATGTCGAATGATGTGAGGGTGCAACACAAGAGACGGCTTATAAGATGAAGAATGAATGCATATGTGCCCTCGTTTTGGCCCTTCCTAATCCAAATTGACCACCCTATCTCGTCCTTGACATTCAGCCTCTTCTGTATGTTGTAGATGCCAATTACATGATGGCGAAACGCGCTTGACTTTCGACATCGATACCGTTGAGGATACAGTCAAGCCGTTCTTCGACGTTATTCGTTAATATGGCTTGCCGGTAGTCATTGCATCGGGTAAAATTTGCGATTCACAGCACAATTTCGGCGAATTTGTTCAAAGTGCTAGATATGAGATTGGACTGAACCCGTCGGCCACCTGCAAACAGATGGTTGGCTGGAATGCGTGGATAGAATGGCAAAGAAAATTCGCCTTTGCGCGGAGAGAATAAGATGTTAGAGCGAACTGCACAAACGAATAGACTTGCGTGAAACTACATGCCCCTACAGACCTAACTTATTTTACATGAATGGTTTGGCCAACTCCCGGGTGCCTTTGACATCGCTTTGCTGTGGCTTCGATTTTATTGGGGGAGGACCGTCGATTGAATTTAAATTGTTAATTAGAGCATGCTACCCTTCGTCGCAAAGTTATATACTTAATCACCGTGAGATTAAGCGACATGCGCAGAGTTCGCGACGTGATGACTGAGAGTCAGCAAAGACAAAAGTAAAACGCCGATATCAAGGTAGGCATCAGACACTTGAATATGCTGTGGGATGAGGGTTTGGTTAGATGCAGTCAATCTACCTACACATACGGTGATTGCGTTCTAATTCTAAGTTGCGACCGTATAACAAACCGATCATAGTCACCGCAAAATACGGATTGATTTATATGTCTTCAATGCTCCAAATAAAACTTAGGATACATCCTGTGTTCTGCGTGGGTTTACTATGGCCATACCACGGTTTGTTCCTTCGAGCCAGTGTCATCTGAAGATATCCGATGCAGACGAAGCGGCGACTTCAGTCCACTGTAGCAGATCTACTCTCTGATCTAGAGTAGTGACACGATTCTGAGCCGCTGATGATGCTTCATGTCAGGCCACTTGATATCGAAGCTCACCGAGATCAGAATCACCTCGCTAGACGCACGCCGTGATTCTTGGAGCAAGCTGACGGTTCGCGCAACCAAGAGTGCTCACAAGAGCCAGCTGCGGGAGATTCAGTATTTGCCGCATTGCTTGTTGGGCAAGGGTTTGCTCGCTTTCACATCGGGCGTTTGTAGACCGGCGGATACACCAGAGCCGTGACCAGTATCTGAAATGCTCTCAATAGGCAGTCTTATAAGCGTTTGAGGTTACGAGTCGAGGCGATTGCCCTTCTGCCATGGTCACTTACGACCTTGCCCCTGCCTTCACCTATCTTGAGGAAGAGGCAGGGCTGCACGTCCCTGCGCGCTTACCACTTGCGGGTAGCGAACAACCCTGTGGAGAGGAATACATCTAGCTGTTAGTTCTTACAGCTGTCAAAGGAATACTAACGGGGCTGTAAGCCGCAGGAATAGGATGTGATTTGTCGTCTGCTTAGTGGTTTGAAATGCGAAGTCCACAAATCGGTTAAAGGTCCATCCGGACATCGCATCGCTTAGGCTGCCTGAAGGTAGGCTTGACGGCCTGCTTCTCTCAACCAGCGCGTGAGCCAAGTGTTGTAAACACCGGTACTTTTGCCAGCCTTCAGTAATAAATTACTCTTTCATGGAGGGCTCAAGTTTCCCCAACCGCTGCTGTAATATTTAATTTCCTCGAGTTGAATCTGTCAATCTTGCTCAAACGCTTAGCCGGGCTGATCTCAGCAATTCGATCAATATCGAGAAGAATTTCTCGTTAGACCAAGACCGCTTCGTGATGTCGCGACGGCGTCAATATGCGCAACAACGCATGATTTACATCGTCG